TCTATCTCATTATATAGTATTGGAATTAATTGTTCTTTAAATGTTTAATAGTAATCACTTGTAAATCCATCTGTTCCTGGAATTTTTTCTTAGGGAACTAATTTATGGCTTGTTCAATTTCTTTTTCTAAGAGAAGGTTGTTTAAGTATTCCATTTCCTGTTTCGTTAATCTCGGCAATTCATTCACTTAATTTAGATTGTCAGTTTTATTGGCATATAGTTGGGAAAAATAATTCCTAATAATTGCTTTTATTTCATCTTCATTTGTTGTGTATTTATTTTTTTCATTTTTGATGCTGGTAATTTAGTTGTCTTTTTAAAATAAAAATCAAATTAGCCAATGGCTTGTTTATTTTATTTTATTTTTTTTAATGCTCTTAGTTTTATTTACTAATTTAGTGGCTCTTGTCCTTTCAGTTTTATTAATCTCTCCTTTGATTTCATGATTTCTGGTTTGATATTTAATTGGGGATTTAAAATTTGTTGGGTTTTGAGGTTGTTGTAGTTGCATGCCCAATTCATTGATCTGCGCTTTCTCTCTTTTCTTGATGTAAGTGTTTAGAGATATAAATTTCCCTCCAAGAATTGCTTTAGATGCATACCACAGATTTTGGTATGTTGTCTCATTTTTGTCTTTATCTTTAAGGAAATTGTTGATTTTCTGTTCTATGTTGTATTCTTTCAGGTTAATTAATTTCCAATTAATTTTTAATCTGTGCTTCAAAGGCCCTTTATTGAATGTAATTTTTCTTGCATTATCAATAGAAAAAGATGCATTTATTTCTTTTCTTCATTTGTTTGTGAGGTTTTTTTTTTTTCCCATAATCAGTTTTTGTAAAAGTGTCATACACAATTGAGAAAGTAGATGTGCTTCTTTCTGTTCCTATTCAGTATTCTCTAGAGGGCTATCACATTTAAAATTTTCTAAAGTTCTATTCATTTCCTTAACTCCTTTCTTATTTCTTTTTTGTTTATATTTATCTAAGTCTGAGGGGTAAAATGAGGTCTCCCACTATTACAGTTTTACTTTCAATTTTCTCCTGTATCTTATTTAGTATTTCCTTTACAAATATAGATGCTATACTGTTTGGTGTATATATGTTCAGTATTGATTTTAATTCATTGTCTATGCTTACCTTTCAGAGAAATGTAGTTTTCCAGTTTATTTCTTTTAACTAGGTTTATTTTTGCTATTGCTTTGTCTGAGATCAAGATTGCTACTTTTGCCTTTTTTACTTCAGCTGAAACAAAATAGATTCTGCTCCAGGCTCTTATTTTAACCCTATGTATATCATTCTGTTTCCAGTATGTTTCTTGTAAAACAGCGTATTGTGGGGTTCTGGTTTCTAATCCTTACTTATATCCACTTCTGTTTTATGAGTGAGTTAATCTCATTCACATTCACAGTTATGAAGGCTGTGTTTCCCTCTATCCCATTCTCGTATACTTAAATTGTTTTGAGCCTCTTTTGTTTCTGACTACTGCCTCCCCCTAATCTACCCTCCCTTTTATTTTCCTCTCGCTCTTTCTCTTAACCCCTTTTCCTCCAAATTTTCTGTTGGATAAAATGAATTTCTGTACCCAATTGTGTGTGTATTTTTTCCTCCTTGTACCAGTTCAGATGAGAGTGAGGTTCAAGGGTTGCTCTCCCCAACACCCCCTTCTATTATATAAACTCTTCTTTGTGCTCCCCCTTTATGTGAAGTAATTTTTCCCATCCTTCCTCCTTTTTCTCCTTGTCTCAGTGCATTCCTTTTGCCCACTCTTCCATTCTTCTTTTGAGATCACGCAAATAACAATAGAATCACACTCATACTCTCTTTCTAATTAGATTCCCTCTCAGACCCCTAGTGATGTTAAAGGAATAAGGGGTAACATATATTGTCTCTCCGTATAGGAATGAAAACATTCTAAGCTTGTTTAGTCCCTTATGATTTCTCATTCTCGTTTACTTTTTTTTTTTTGTACTTCTCTTGAGTCCTGTGTTTGAATGTCAGATTTTTTATTCAGCTCTGTTCAGGAATGCTTGAAAATCCTTTTTCATTTTACCCCTGTAGGATTATACTCAGTTTTGCAGGGTAGATTATTCTTAATTGTAATCCTACATCCTTTGCCTTCTGGAATATCATTCTGAGCCCTCAGCTCCTTTTTAAGGTCTTCTGTGTTTGTCTTCAGCTTCCCTGTCACCATAGTAGCTCTTTATACTCATTCTCCCAGCTTACTGTTTGACTTTGAACTTTAGGTTAGTGTTGGGCTCTGCTTACTTCTGGGGGTTGGGAGATACCTGATTTGAGATTGTCTTTTATGTCCTGCTGCTTTCAAAGCTCAGCCTGGGGGCCCTGCAAATTTTCAGTGCTTCTGATGTGATGTGATTTAGGGAGAGGTCTGTTCACTGCTCTCCTAGTCTGAGTTCTGCAAGTTCATGATCCAATTTGGGTCTTTTGGCTCATGAGTGAGTTTCCATAGACTGCTGCTGAACTCAAGCACTGTTAGCCCACTAGGAGGTTCTATAGGTTCAGAGCAAGTGAACTGCTGGCTCTGCTTTGGTTTTGGTCTTCTGCCCTGGTTATTCCACTTATGTTCTGGGCTACAGATTAGAACTGAGTCATTGCTCTGCTGTTGGACACAGGGCCACATAACTTAAGTTTCTAGAACTTATTCTTTGCTCAGTACACAACCAGGTTTCCACATGCTCAGTTGGGACCACTCCTGTCTTCCCTGGAACTGTAATGAGTGACAGAGCTTCTAAATAGTACCTGCTTTTGCTCTCAGTAATAGTTCAGGATTCCCCTAGTACTTCTTTCTGCCCGGGTTCTCTGTCTCTGCTTCCTTTCTGGAATACTCCCCGTTTCTATTGCCCCTATGTTAGACTCCTGGCCAGCTGCCACCCTAGTGTCTGTAGACCTTGTTTTCCTAAGCTGCCATGGAAAAATGACTCACTGTGTCTTTTTATTGGCTTTCTCCATCAGGATTGGGTGTGGCATGTTTTCTGGATTGTTGTGGAGGAGGTGTGCTGGGTGAGCTAGGTAAAAATGTTTCCTTTTCACCATCTTGACTTGCCTACCCTCCCCACACTCCCATGCCCCTGCCTTAAAGCTAAAATCTTGTTAAGGGATTAATATCAAAGATATATAGGGAACTAATTTGATGTTATTTAATCATTTCAGTTGCGTCTGACTCTTCGCGACCCTGTTTGAACATAAGGAATTAATACAAATATATAAGACCATGAACCATTCTGTAGTAGATCGTCAAAAGTTGGTTCATAACCAACAGTTCTCAGAAAATTACAAATTATTAATAACTATCTGATTGCTCCACATTAATAATAATAAGCAAAATGCAAATTAAGGCAATCTACACACTCAGTAAATAGGCAGTAATGACAAAAGATGGAACCACTCAGTGTGGGTGAAGCTGAGGGAAGATAGGCACACTAATATACTGTTGGAGGACCTGTGAATTGTTCTGACCTTTCTGGAAAACAATTTAGAATTATGTTTGTTGTTCTTGAGTCGTTTCGGTTGTGTCTGACTGTTTGTGACTCCTTTTGGTGGTTTTCCTGGCAAAGGTACTGGAGTGGTTTGTCATTTCCCAGCTGATTTTATAGATAAAGAACTGAGGTGCTCGCTTGGGCAGCACATACACTAAAATTGGAACGATACAGAAAAGATTAGCATGGCCCCTGCGCAAGGATGACGCACAAATTCGTGAAGTGTTCCATATTTTTCCTTTCACTCAAACTACCAATTTACCAAGAGGCCAAAAGAGGAAGATATGGGCCTTTGATGATCACAGATCTACCATGATCCCAATTAGAAAAGCCTAATTTTCCCTCCAGCCACACGGAGATTTCTGCCTTCTCAGGACAGAATCAGACTTCTTGGGCCCTGTATGTCTTCCAGTCAGCTCTGTTGGTTCCACAGGACACTTATTTCTTGTGCTATATTATCTTATCTTGGGCTATATTCTCCCCAATAAAATAACTTTAATCCCAGGAACTAATTTCATGGACTCAAAGGAACCCAGCTCCTCATTGGAGCTCCAAACTTGTTTCTCCCCTGAAGGGTCTTCATTCTAGTCCCTATAGGGTTCTGCTTTTGGTGTGCCAGATCCCATGTTATGAGCTGGGAGCAGGGTCTATGTTCAGTTCTGGGGCATGTTTATAAATACCCGTGTATCTCTCTGTCCCTGGGGGCCATCCCACTGACCTCCAGTTTCCACTTTTCACTCCAACACCTAGCCCCTGTTTTGTACTCATGTTTCCATCTATGGTTGAGGGGTGTTGTGTCAATTTTTTTGTAGCCTTGTTTGTAAAGACTTTTAATAAAAAAGTGCTTCTCAAAAAAAAAAAAAACGGAGGCAGACAGGATTAAGTGACTTGCCTAGGGTCACACAGCTAGTAAGAGTCTGAGGCTAGATTTGAACTCATGAAGATGGATCTTACTGATTCCAAGTCGAGTGCTCTATCCACTGTGCCACATAGCTGCCTGGAATTATATTTACAAAGTACCCAAAATGTCTATGTTCTTTGACCCAAAGATGTTATTGCTAGGCATATACCCCAAAGATGTCAAAAATATAAAGCAAGGTCTTGATACACCAAATAATCACTTTTTTAGCATTACAACACGTTTTATGTCCTCATAGCTCATATCTGTATTCAAAGCTTTGTTTGTGCTAGTCACTGGAGATGTCAAAACAAAAAATAAAACTAACCCAGCACTCAAAGAGCTTCCATTCTATAGAAGGGATAGAACTTGTAAATAAGTAATTGTAATACATGATACTTTGAAGAGGAAAAGATTGTAGAAATAAAAACCACCTCACAAATTTGTATGTCATCCATATGTGGATCATGTAGATAATGAGTAGTGGAGTTAGTCTTGAACATATGGCTACTGCCATGTCCAGTGCTCTTAGTTGGTGTGATTCTAATCTGCATGCTCAATACTTCAGAAGTATGTGACAGTACATTTGATCTCTTTGTTTTTTTTCAGATGGCCGGACAGACCCAATTTTGGATGATGTTAGTGAAGCCTTCCAACTTATGGGGGTCAATCTTCACGAATTAGAAGATTATATTCATAATATTGAACCTGTCACTTTTCCACATCAAATTCCTTCATTTCCTGTCAGCAAGAACAATGTACTTCAATTTCCTCAACCCGGGAGTAAAGATGCAGAAGAAAGAAAAGAATATATTCCTGATTATATGCCACCTATTGTCTCTTCTCAGGAAGGTATGTAATTTTTTGGTCTTTGCTCTATATTCTTATTTTTACAAGCTTCAAATATTTAGTGCATATCATAACTTCTTTTTTTGGGGGGTAAGCAGTTGGGTTAAATGACTTGTCTAGCATCACATAGCTAGTGTGTGTCTAAGGTCACGTTTGAACTCAGGTCCTGCTGATTTTAGGGCTAGGGCTACATGCCATCTAGCTGCCCCCGTATCATAACTTCTTAATACTTATATAATAGTCTTCAGGTGCTTTGCTGAAGAGCAAAGTTTAGAAATACAGATAGCATATTTTAATGTTATTAGTCATGCCAATAACCACATACCCAAAACTAAATGCAAACTACTTATTGGCATTTCTGTGACCAAAGTTTTTCCTAATGAGGTATTTATTTCCTTTGATATTAATAGTTGAGGGAGAACAAAATGTAGCCAAAGAAAAATATCTTTTTAATAAATTTGTCATGTAAGAATAGACTATAGAATAATCCAGTTAGAAAACTTGAAACATAAAGATGAACAAAAGCTACCTTTCACTTTGTCATTTGTATTAGTATAAATTAAACCCCATTACTTTCAGCTAATTTATTCATTTAAATTATTCAAGGTTTTTATTTGAATGGCACACGTATCTCTCTATTGGTTGGTAGGCGCAGTGTTTGTTGTTCAAGCACATAGTTGTTTTTTTTCTTAGTTGAGCTTTATTTTTAGTTCTGAATTCTCTCCTTCCCTGTTTCCCCTCCAAAAAACATTACATATTTGTATGGTTATATAAAACAAATTCCTACATTAGCCATGTCAAAAAAAAAAAAGAAAATATTCTTCAGTCTGCACTCTAGAGGTAGATAGCATATGTCATCATGAGTCCTTTGGAATTGTTGTTGATTGTGTTGATCAGAGTTCTTGATTCTCTCAAAGTGCTCACAGAGTTTACATGAAAGGTTTATGAGAACAAATCATCAATTAGAATGATCTACCTGAAGAAGAAAAAAAAATCATTTGTTTACATTAAATGCATGCATTTATATATTATTTCTTAGATGAATGTGCCAGTAACGTACATGGGTAATTGGGAATTGATTGTAATGAATTCTGTTTCAATTTTTTAAAAAATTTTTTTCTTTTGAAACCATCAACTAATACCTAACTGATAAGCAGTTAGCAGTTTCTCAGTTTAAATTTTGTTAATAAATTTCATTTGCTTCACTTATATAATATATTGGCTCGTCATAAGACATGGTGCTAGTGGGGGATGAGGTTGAGTACTTGTGAAAAGATACATCTATCCCTCTCCGCTAGTCTATACAAAAACTTAAAAGCACTCATATTTACCTGAATTATTGGTTATAGTTTTCTTTCTTTTAAAAAAATTGCATTTTATTTTTTTAATCAACAAAAATTAACTAGCCTCCCTCCCTTCCTCCAATTGATAGCAAAAGAAAAACCAAACATTTGTTATAAATGTATATAGTCAAGCAAAACAAAGTTCCAAAGTTCCGTATTGACTATATCCAAAAAATGTATCCAATTTTACACTCTGAATCTTGCACCTCTCTATGAGGTGGGTAGCATGTTTTATCATTAGTTTTCTGTAATTGTGTTTGAACATTATGTCTATCAGAGTTCCTAGTGTTTTCAAAGTTGTTGGTCTTTATCATATTGTCATCATTGTATAAATTTTCCTTCTGGTGCTGCTTACTTCATTCTGCTTCAGTTCATATAAGTCTTTCCAGGTTCTTCTGAAACCATCCCCTTCATCATTTCTTACAACTCAATAGTACTCCTTCACATTTATATACTAAAATTTTTTCAGCCATTCCTCAGTTTATGGACTCCCCTTCAGATTCCTATTCTTTGTCACCTCAAAAAGATCTATAAATATTTTTATACATTTTTAGTTAGGGTTTGTTTTGCTTAGATCTAAGCCCTCCCTTAGTCTATCCTCCTCCTGTTTCTCCCTTCCCTCTTTTCCTCTTTCCCTCCTGAATGAAATGTATTTCTGTACCCAACTCTGTGTGTTTGTGTGTATTTATGTAGTCTTCTCATCTTTGATCAGTTCAGATGAAAGTGAGGTTGAAATGTCAGCTGTGTCCCTACTGCTTCCTCCTTGTGTGTATAGATGTCTACTTGTGCATCTTGATTATATGAGATAATTTTCCCCAACCTTCCTTTCCCTTTCCCTTTTTCTTTCCAACCTCCAAGTGTATTCTTTCTCTCACTTTTCATTTCTCTCTTAAGGTAAAAAAGATGGCTCTTCCTAACTTCTGGGAGCCAAAGTGGTGGAGTAAGCAATAAGTTACTATCATTCTCCCTTTTTGACCTCTTAAAAAAACAGGTAACAGCGGCCCAGGAAAGATCCTGGAACAGTGGAGCCAGTGGAAAGACAGGGTGGAGCAGTCTCTTAGCCTGGGAAATTTGAAAGGTCAGCAAGAAAGTTCTGTTTCACTAAGGTAAAAGGGGAGCTCATTCCAGGACAAGGGGTGTCTCAGCAAGCTGGTGGCAAGCGCCACCTCAGCAAATTAGCAGGAGATCCTGAGATCTCAAGGTGGTGGCGCAGGCAAACACCAACACCAGGACCCCCCATGTGCCTTAGCATAGCCAGGGAAACCAGCAGACTCCAGCTCAGAGAACCACTACATGCCGCTCTGCAACCCTTGGCGGGCAGGTGTTCCCCAGCAGTCGACCTCCCTGTGCTTCAGCCTAGCCCTGGGGAAATGCAGAAAAACACCGCCTCAGCACACTCCAAACACCACCACTGGGACCACACCTCAGCACCAGGTAAGCTGCCAGACCCTAGAGCCCCTGGCTGCTAGCACCTGAGGCCTCAGCAGACAAAGTCAGTGACCAGGCCCCTGGCCCCCACCACAAGAAGCTTGGGACAGTGCTTCCTGAACTCCAGCAGGACAGCTCAGCTTTAAAAGCCAGGAAATAAGCAGACGTCATGAGTAAGAAGCAGAAAAGAACACTTACCATAGAGAATTATTATGATGGCAGGGAAGATCAAAACACAAATTTAGAAGAGGAGAACATTGTCAATATACCCACATCTGTAACCTCAAAGGGAAATATGAATTGGTTCCAAGCCCCAAAAGCCTTCTTGGAAGAGCTCAAGAAGGATTTTAAAAGTGAAATAAGAGAAGTAGAAGAAAAATTGGGGAAAAAAATGAGAGGTATGCAAGAAAGAGTCAACAGCTTGGAACAGGAAGGACAAAAATTGACTATAGAAAACAAGTCCTTAAAAAATACAGTTAGTCAAATGGGAAAAAAGTACACTGAGGAAAACAGCTCCTTAAAAAGTAGAATTGGCCAAATGGAAAAGAAGGCGCAAAAACTCACTGAAGAGAACTCCTTAAAAGGTAGAATTGGCCAAATGGAAAAGGAGGTACAAAAGATAACTGAAGAAAACAATTGATTAAAAATTAGAATTGGGCAAGTGGAAGCTAATGACTCTATGAGACATCAAGAATCTGGGAAACAAAATCAAAAGAATGGAAAAATAGAAGAAAGTATAAAATACCTCATTGGAAAAACAACTGACCTGGAAAACAAATTCAGGAGACATAATTTAAGAATTATTGGTCCACCAGAAAGCCATGATCCAAAAAAGAGCCTGGACAGCATCTTTCAAGAAATTATGGATGGGGGGGGGGGGGGGGGGGCAGAGCTAAGATGGCTGAGTAAAAGCAGTGACTTGCTTGAGCTCTTCCCCAAACTCCTCCAAATACCTATAAAAAATGACTCTAAACAAATTCTAAAGCAGCAGAACCCACAAAAAGACAGAGTGAAACAAATTTCCAACCAAAGACAACCTGTATGGTTGATCAGAAAGGAATATTGCGCCGGGTAGGGAGAGGAGCGCAGTACGGCGAGGGCGCATAGGCCACAGCGAACCTGGAGCAGGCCTCAGAGGACTGAATTGCAGGCAGCTGTGGCAGTTTCCATGCTTTTCAACCCATGAACACCAAAGACAACTTGGAAGGTCAGTGGGAAAAGTCTGTGACTGCGGTAAGAGAGAAGCTAGGTCTCAGCCGCAAGTCCTGAGCGCGGGCTGTGGCTGCCTCCTGAGCTTCTGGCCCACAGACTGAGGGGGAATCGAGTGGCTGATAAGAGGGGGATTGCAGGGATCTCTTTGCCTGTGCTGAGGCAGGAATCTCTTGCTTTGCCCGTACTTGCATCTGGGTCACAGTTCTGGGTGGCGGTCCTGCGGCGAGGAAGAGCGCTGGTTTGGTGGAGCTTGTAGTGGCGGTGGAGAGGAAATCCTCCTCACAGTTCCAAGACAGAAAAGAGTACTCATAGACCAGAGCACAGGCTAGGAAAGGAGTAAATACCTCGCCCTTGATCATAGCACCTTGGAAGAACTGAAAATTTACAGGTCCCTAGAAGTATCTCTGAAAACAGCTGCACAACACCCCTGAAGCTTGGGACAGTACATTCTCCACACTGGAAACAGACTCCTACCTTAACAAAGAGTTTATAACTCAAGTAATTGGCCGAGATCATGAGCAAGCAGTGCAAAAAGAGTCAGACTATATTATCTTCTTTGGTGACAAAGAAGATCAAAACATACAACCATAAGAAGACAACGAAGCCAAAGCTCCTACATCCAAAGCCTCCAAGAAAAATATGAATTGGTCCCAGGCCATGGAAGAGCTCAACAAGGATTTTGAGAAGCAAGTAAGAGAAGTAGAGGAAAAACTGAGAGTGATGCTAAAGGAGACCCAAAAAAATACTGAAGAAAATAACACCTTAAAAAATAGCCTAACCCAAATGGCAAAAGAGGTCCAAAAAGCCAATGAGGAGAAGAGTGCCCTAAAAAGCAAAATTGGCCAAATGGAAAAGGAAGTCCAAAAGCTTACTGAAGAAAATACTTCCTTAAAAACTAGAATGGAGAAATTGGAAGCTAATGACAATTTGAGAAATCAAGACACTATAACACTAATCAAAAGGAATGCAAAAATAGAAGAGAATGTGAAATATCTCATTGAAAAAACAACTGACCTGGAA